AACTTATCTATATTTCTATATCTTCATCGTTCCCAAGCACTATAACTTATCTATATTTCTATATCTTCATCGTTCCCAAGCACTATAACTTATCTTTATTATATAATTACCAATGAAATATCTGTTTTTCTCTGTTTCGAAACATTGATATCTTCACACGTGAAAATAACATGTTATTTTCACGTGTGAAGATAACGCCATTGTGATGGCTATTCAAAAATACACGGAAAGAATTGCCTGAAAAAGCCAAAACATACTTCATTGATAATTATATAATAAACAGAATATTACATGGCCGCTTGGAGATACGAATTTTATCTTCTCGTGTTGAAAATCTCTCACTCCTTCGCTACGCTCACTCGTGAGAGATCTTTTCAACACTCGAAGATAAATTTCGTATCTCCGCGCGCCCATGTAATATCCTCTATATATCTCTATATCTTGTATTTCATAAGTGCTTTAAAAAAACCATAGAGGGAGGGGAGGCACCAAGGAGGGTGTTATAACAACATGTAAACCTTGAGAGAAAACCATGGAAGAATTTTCGACCAATTTGTACGATGATGAAAGCGGAAGTGGACCCACCTACCCTCAGTCCGCCTAATCTTCACCTCCCCCTGTCTACAGGATATTTTTCCAAAGTTCGTTTTCAGAGTTCGTTTTTTGATTTTTGAATTCGAAAATTGAAAATTGACATTGATGAGATAATATTGGAATTTTGACATGATCATAAAAAATGAAAATTCAAAAGTCAGGCAAATTTCATATGTCCAATTCACGCCAACTAAATTGAAAAGCTCTTTGTGGAGTGTTACACGGACCACAACCCTCGTTTACTACATGATGTATTGATCTCTCTCAGTTGTATTAACTGTCTTTCACACAGACGTGACGAGACAACACTCGTTTGCTACATGTATTGATCTCTCTCAGTTGCAAAAACTGCCGACAGAAGTTATTTGAACTGTGTGCGACAAACGCAGACCGCAGACTGCAGACCGCAGACTGCATTATTGTCGGTATTTTTACTATATTTATGTTTTGTCTCACTGCAGTTATTTTCGATATTTTTTTCTGGCCTGCAGCCTGCAGTCTGCGTTTGTCGCACACCGGTTGTTTGAATGGCAAGCAAACCAAGAACCAGGCATGTGCACTTCTTTCAGGACGTTGATACTACGTCCAATGCTATAACGACTTTGACAGTTTTAAGAGGCTGTTGAGGCCACTAGCTCAACAGTATAGAATTGCTGTTTTCTCGCTGTTTTGTGCTGTATGAGTCCGCTAACCAGTTAATGTCGCTGTCGCGTCRCGTCGTGTGCACGTTGTCATTYGTAGTGTTAGTGTAATGTGATCATCAGCTTCATGTGTTATGTTCTCGTGCAGTGTGTTCATCAATTGGTAAGTTCTTTGCCATTGCTTGCTTGCAGTATTGTACCATCGTAATGTGATACTCTTTGTTTTAGGATTTTACTGTGTGTGTATCGGATAGTTTACATGTGAAACCATTTGATGAATAAATCGAATCAGTGCATATGAAGTTGAGACGTGTGTGTTTAACCCCTACATCGGCGTAAAATCCAATTGTAATCCTACAATGAGTAAAGAGGGAGCTCTTATGGCTAAGATCTACGAACTGGATCGCTCCAGAAGCGGATATCAAGCTGTTCTTTCCCGTGTATGCAAGAAAATCGAAGAGAAGCTAATAAGCGAAGACAACCTTGAAGACGTGAAACTATTGCAATCTCGCCTAAATACCGCCTTTGATCGTTATCAGCAATGTTGCCGAAAGTATGACGACTTGTTGGATCACGCTTGTGAAAAATATCTAAATATTCAGGAATTGCTAAGCCAACAACTGAGGAGAAAGGAGTATGTTAAAGTGCTTATAAGCCTTCAGAAGCCATCATTTTTACAAAAATTAGAGACGTTTAAAAAGACATTTTCGGAATAAATTTTGGCATTAAACATTTCCTCGCTCTTTTATAAGCGTTTAAATATCGTTTTTTCACAAAAAAACTGCGCACTACAGGGGACTGGCACTAGTTAACTGTGACGTAGCTTAAGGGACTTATCAGGCTATCAGGGAGCGTATATAGAATTGCCGTTTAGTAGACTAGCTCGCTTGAATCAAATAAAATTTATCGAAGAGAAAACTATGTGCGATAACAGCAGCACAGACTCTGAAAACAGTCAAGACGACTCGGAATATAACTTTATTCACGGTTTATATGCTTTCGAAGATGAAGGAAACGGAGAACAAAAAGCATTTGATCTCAACAGCGAGGTCGAGTTGCCATATGCTTACGATAAAGAACCACTTGCAGACACTGAGTTTCTGGAACAGTACAACAAAGAAAAAAAAGATCGAGAAGAGAAGGAGGAAGAGTTAGTTAGGAGACTCGCGGGAATTGAACCTGCTGAAGCTTGGTAAGTAAAATCTTTCATAGGATATATTTTATTCGACTCATAGGTAGAGCGGATGCAATTAAACAGTGAAATAGTATCAAACTAAGTACTAACTAATAATATCTATTTAGTGACTAATAATTGCTATCACTCAACCAGAACATTCATCATACAAAGACAAATGACTAAATAGATACTATTACTTAGTTTGATACTATTTCACGGTTTAATTGCATCCGCTCTAGCCAACATCCGACAACCATTGATAACAGCCGCGTGTTTACATGGCTGACTTCGAATATTTGAGCTTATTTCCTTTATAATACACTTCAAGATCACCTGACACATATTTTCGACCTTCTTTGTAGGTGTAAGTGCGGTAACTGCAGCATCAGGCTTCTCCAGAATTGCAATGAATCATTTTGCTGCCACGAAATTGAAGAATGCTTGGCTTCGCTGAGCGACGACATGGTGTTAAAGGACGTGCCCCAGCCACCAAATTGTGTTACGCTACACCCAGGATTTAGACCAGTATGTTTAGAGAAATGGTCTCTAAGAACTTCAGCAGCAAAGTATAAGTGCAAAGACCGTACTCGATATAGGCAAACAGGTTCTGAAGCTAGGTAAGCAAATGGGTTTTGTGTGACATCATTAATTTACAATCTGTAAAAATCCATTCTTACATTAGTATTATAGAATTTAATATACCTAAAGACCTAACAATGGTTATAGATGTTCCAGGTATTTACAGTCTATAAAACCATTGACTTTCTTTCTTTCTTTCCTTTTTCCCCTAGCTTCTTTCGTAGTGTGGCTTATAGGGAATTTACCTATTTAATCCATGGCTATATTGGCAATAAGAGAATACCATTGCCATCTGGTGTATATCATGCAATAAGAGAAACATTTAATGATGAAWGTGAGCAATTTACAGGATATGAAAATAATTAGTTGTACTTATTATTGTACAGAMATTTCACTGAACCCATAGAACCAAGAAATTACTAGATTGAAGGCACTAAAGATATTGACCACAGGGAGCCCATAACTGACTTTTTTCAGAAAATTAAAGTCCAATTAATATGGAATCCTGAAGAGATTGAAATGGGCACCGGTCCTAATATTGATTGCCATACTCTAATCTACATTTATACCAATTTTGGTGCTTTTGTCCGCTGTGTATAGATCTGACCAAAATTTTGCACTTAGCCACCTGACTAGTTCGGGGATCTTCGTCTTCATCCTCGGCGATGTGGCCATCATCTTGTTCCTCCACAAGAGTCCTAATTGTTTCTTCCCGCTCTTTTTTTTCCTTAGGTTAAACATTTTTTAAATCACCAAATGACTGTACTTTCATGAGGCAAAATAAAATGTTGCATTTAAATGTTTAGATAGAACTACTTACCTGTCTTAGACTACGCGCTGATGGAGGCTTTTCTTCGCGAACTTTTGTTATCGTAGGGAAGACAACTATCCCTACGCCGTCTTTTTTCAAACGTGGAGAATAGAATTTGGTGTTTGGTATCTCCAAAGCGTATCTCTCAAAGTCATTAAAAAGAAAGTGATCGGAACACACGGCCGACAGTTTAGTTGCTTTCCAGTGCTTTCTTGTTTTCAAGACGAAGTCCGTCCATTTTTTTCTTCTTTTCTTGGCCTCTGGGCGCTCATCAGCGAAAAAAGGAATTCGGTGAAGTGAAATGCCCAACTGTAAGCTAGACTCATTTGAACACCCACCTACAACGCATCTATCCGGCATTTCAAAGTTCATAAAAAGAGGTTAACTATCAGAATCACACAGTGCAGACTAGTACTTGCAGAACTTCCAAAGATGGCTTCCCTTAAGTTACGTCACTGCGAAACCTGGGAACTGGYACGAAATTTAATAGACAGGGAGCCCAAATAGGGCTTTTTCGCATTCTTTAACGCACTGTAAAAAAATGAGGCACATTTTTTTCGGTTTTATTTCCCTAAAAATGTGTTATCTTTGACCTAAGCTTTCCCTTCAAAAAGCCAATAATGAAGGCTTATAAGCACTTTAACCAGAAAATCAACATGTTTATCGCTAGTGCTATGGTCAGCCGAGAAGTGACGAGAATCGAAGAAGAAATAAAGCAAACAGAAACCGAGTTAAAACAAGCCCTCGAGCGAGACAAATCTGTGTCTGGTGGTCGAATTACCGYCAAATCTTCCCCGAATGAGTCCAGAGTTCWACAAACTGTGTTACAGGATAGCAACAATCCCAGTGAAGAGAATATTCAAGATATTTTTGAGTCCAATGTTATTATCCCACCGCCGCCAATGTTCTCAGATGTCATTACCCCAGAACCATCGAAGCGTAAACGAGAGCCGATTYAAGTGATAACATCGACACCTGTCATTCCAACACATCAAACAATCCGACCGGAACCAAAGGACCAAATTCATGATGAGAGTAAAGTCAGTGAAGGATTCGGTACTCAATCCACGGTATTACAAGATAATTATAGCCCACGTGCAGAGGGCTTACAAGATCTCTCTGGAGTTATACTACCCCCTCCCYCTGTGTATTCAGACATTATGTCGCCGCCACTACCGGGGGGTAAACAAGAGTTGTTTCAAGTGGAAAGGTCAATACCTTTTGGCCCGTCTTCCTGCAATGCCGACTTCGATCCCTCTGTTGCCATAGTGACGGATTCATCACAGGAATCCCAACCCCAAGTRAGGCATGAAGGAAGTCTTCAAACCACAGGAAACCCGCAAGTTATACAGACAACAATCAACACAGAATCGAACAAGACTAAGAAGAGACTATCTGTGACACAAAACGTCGAAAACACATCCATGCAAAACTCCAACAGCGAGACAGCAGCACAGGATTCCCAACCTCTCCGTGCGGAGCCCAAATCCAGCGACCAAGGGATACTTACGRCSATAGTAGCGTCTATGGACAASATGACCAGCGCGCGCGATCTACCAGCMKTTCGAGTGGTGAAGTTTGATGGTTCGCCGGAGAAATATTTGACATTTCGTCAGAGGTTTAAGCAACTTGTGGAGTCAAGACAACTTGACGATGCTGTTAAGATGACACGCCTTCTACAGTTCCTAGAGGGACCTGCCCTTGCTGCTGTGCAACACTACGAAACTATACCTAGAGGACTAGAGAAGGCTCTGAGAGTATTAGAAGATAGATTTGGCCGCCCCTATCACGTAGTTAAGGCCTGCGTAGAGACAATGACGAAGGGACCGGCAATACAGCCCAACGACATGCAGACAGGCGCTACAGCAGTTTGCAGACATGGCTCAAGCAACCTATGACACCCTCGACGCGGTCGGTTATTTGTCCGAAATGAATACCAATAACCTGGAGAAGATGATGTCACGCTTACCAAAATGGATTCAAGCTAAGTTCGTCGAACACTTGAGTAAGCTTGAACGAAAGGGACAAACGTTACCATCCTTTAAGGACGTCGTGGAGTTCTTACGAGATAGAGCTGACATCGTCAATCATCCATTTCTTGCAAGGCCAACTGTCGAAGGCACGTCGCCCCAAGGGAAATCGTCGAACACGAGGTTCAAGCCTACTACGCTAAAGCCTTCAACTTATGCAATCGCTGCAACAAGTAAGGATCCGGCATGTGAGTTATGCTCAAATTCCCATCGTCTGTATCATTGTGATGCATTCAAGTCTAAGTCTATTAAGGAAAGAAATGACTTTGTGAAGAGTAAGCATCTCTGCTTCAACTGTCTGAGCTCAACTAACCACAACGCTAAAACCTGCAAGTCCCAGACCAGATGTCGAGCTTCTGGTTGTGGCAAGCCTCATCACACTATGCCACACTTCGATGAATGCTTAACGACTCAAGTCAAGCGTCCGCCATCGCAGGCGACGAACGCGAGCGGACGAACTACACTAGAACCCGTTCAAGAAGTAAACGTCTCACCTGGTAATTCACACACAATTTCGAGTGACGTCAACGCGACCTCAACACGTGAAACGAGAGAAGTCCTGCTACAAGTGGTACCAGTGAAGGTGATAAGCAACGAAAGACACTCGCTAACTACATACGCACTACTAGAATCTGGGTCAGATATCACGATGATTGACCCATCACTTGCCATGCTTCTGGGGTTAAGAGGAAGACCCAGTAAGCTTCGTTTCAATACCGCAAGCGATTGCAATGCCGAACAAAGTGGAGTAAAGGTTGATTTCAAGCTAGCCTCAGTAAGTGGCAATGATGAGACTCAGGTGTACGTCAAATCAGCCTGGGCCACCAAGGAACTTACAATCCTCCTTAAACATAACAAGGTGCTAAATTCCACTGATCAATGGCCGCACTTACGTGAAGTCCCATTTCCTACCGTAGAGAGACAGAGGATATCAGTCCTGATCGGAACCAATGTGCAAGAAGCGTTCGTACCGGTGGAAGTGACAAGAAGAAACAGAGATGAGCCCGTCGCCATACGATCATGCCTTGGATGGAGTGTCCTTGGCGGTAGCTTTACACGAGGTACAAGTGAACCAGCGAATCTCAATTATATACRTAAGGAGGACGTTACGCTGAATGAACAACTGGAAGAGTTCTGGAAGGTCGAGTCATACGGGTCCCATAAAACGGAAGCGAAACCATTGTCAGTTGAGGATCAAAGGGCCATGAAGATTATAGATGACACTATATGTAAGGTGGGCAGTAACTACAGGATGGGACTGCTATGGAAGACGCCAAACCCTGATCTCCCTAACAACCGCAAACTAGCTGAAGCAAGATTGAGCAATCTGAAGACACGGCTACAACGCGATCCCGAGTTGCTGATAAAGTACAGAAACGTGATGGAGAACTACATAGCTAAGGGTTACGCTTCAAAGTTATCGAGAGAGGAAGCAGAGAACACWGGATCTWAAACATGGTACTTACCTCATCATCCGGTTTACAACCCAAACAAACCCGGAAAGATCCGCGTTGTATTCGGCGCGGCTGCGAAGTTCAGCGGTACGTCTCTAAATGATAACCTTCTCCAAGGTCCGAGTCTTATCAATGACTTGTCCGGAGTCCTGCTTCGATTCCGTGAGGAACACTCCGCCTTCACAGCGGATATCGAGGCAATGTTTTACCAAATCAAGGTGGTTTCGAGTGATACAGAAGCTCTCAGATTCTTATGGTGGTCAACCAACTTGGACGATCGACCCGAGGAATACAAGATGACGGTGCATATCTTCGGAGCGAAGTCTTCCCCCTGTTGTGCCAGCAAGGCTTTGAGAGTGACGGCAGCGGACAACGCAGACAACTACGACCCTGACGTCATCCGTACAGTCGAACGCAACTTTTACGTCGACGACGTATTAAAGTAAGCTCCTACCCCAAACCAGGCCATCCACTTAGCAAAGGAGTTAACCAAGTTATTGAAGGAAGGCGGCTTCCGTTTATCAAAGTTCTCTAGTAACAGCAGAGAGGTGCTGGCGTCTATTCCAAAAGACGACAGAGCTGATCCCACATTCGATATGGACCTCGATAGACTGCCCGTTGGCAGAACACTAGGGGACTACTGGGACCCTGAATCCGACACATTCCAGTTCAAGACACTAGTCACAACCAAGCCACACACAAAGAGAGGAGTGCTATCCATAGTAAGTTCACTGTTTGACCCCCTTGGGTTCCTAGCCCCATTCACCTTCACCGTCAAGTCTCTTCTCCGAGATTTGTGGAGAGCGGAGGTTTCCTGGGATGAAGAAATTCCCGAGCCGTACCTGTCGCAGTGGAAGGACTGGCTGAGAAACATGCCGAAAGTTGTCAACATACACATTCCAAGGTGCTTCAAGTCACCCTTCTTGTACACGCCATCACGCATCGAGCTACATGTATTCTCAGATGCTTCTAGAAGAGGCCTTGCAACTGTCGCCTACCTGAGAATG